GCAGTAGGCGGTGGCCGGTGGGTGAGCCAGAGAGAGAGAGAGAGAGAGTGAGAGAGAGAGAGACAGAGAGAGAGACGACAGATGTAGAAAATTAGAAAGTCTAAAGTTGAAAGCGTGGCTGGAAGTAAAAAAGTGAAGTTTATTTAAGAAATAGGATTTTAACTTTTAATTTAGATTTTTGTTAATTGTAAATTATTTTTTATGCTAATTACCATTGCTATCCAAACGGCCCAAAGGTACCAAGACCAAAAGCCCAAACGTGAAAAGCAAGCTTACCTTATGTTTTGGCCCAACAACACAAATAAATTGCATTTTAACACATTCGGTGCGGTTCGGTTAAAACCGCACCCGTCGAACACAAATCGAACCGCACTGAATCTTTTGCGGTTAAAACCGCACCCGTCGGACACAAATCGAACCGGACCGAGTACACCGGTTCAGTTTGGTTTTTCGGTTTCGGCTCGGTTTTGCTCACCCCTAGGCATTTGAATAAGTTGCTGACTTGTTTCTGCTGGAATTTGATTTAATATAATTCACCATTATCTTCTAAATTTAATTTCATTTATCCATATGTAATGTGATATATATTAAACTTTACTAGAACATATATTTATATAAATGAATTAAATATTTTAAAATAAAATAACAGTATAATAGGCCAATTTACTATAAATTAAATAATTAATACTAATAATAACTTCCAAAAAATTAAATTAACATAAAATAATAAAAAATTAAAATAGACTAATTAAAGTAACATAAAAATAATAATGACAAAATAAATAAAGTATACAAATGGTAAAATAAATAATAAATAAAATAACATATTATGGAATAATAAAATAAGTAAATTATAACTATTAATCTCTTACATACAATAATGAATAAAAAAATTGAAACAAATTATAGTTTTTTAATAAATAATTCTAATGCAAATAAATAAGTTTAATTTCTAAATTTTATTTATTAAAAATATAATTTTAATATAAAATAATTCTAAAATAAATACATTAAATATTGTTATAATATAATTATTATTATTATTTATAATTTTATTTTAATTATTAATATAATAATAAGTTATTTTAATTATTTTTTATCTTCTAAATTTAATTTTATTTATTCATATGTAATGTGATATAAATATATATTTATATAAATGAATAAAAAATATTTTAAAAAATAACAGTAGGCTAATTTACTATAAATTAAATAATACAAATAATAACTTTGAAAAAATTAAATAACATAAATAAAAAAAAAATAAATTAAAATAAAGTAAGATAAAAAATATAATATAGTAACGTGAAATTAAAATTTAATAAATTTACATTCTAATTATTAAAATAAATTAAATAAGTAAATTGTAAATGAAAATATAATACAGAAATTATAATTAAAAATAAATAAAATTAAAGTAAAAATAATAATTATAAAAGAAATAAAGTATACAAATAATCAAGTAAAATAAAAAAATTGAAACAAATTATAATTTTTTAGCAAATAATTCTAATTTAAATAAATAATTTTAATTTCTAAATTTTATTTAGTAAAAAATTAATTTATTATAAAACAATTCTAATTTTTTTATTTAAATGAATTAAATATTTTAAAATAAAATAACAGTAAAATAGGCCAGTTTACTATAAACTAAATAATTAATACTAACAATAACTTCCGAAAAATTAAATTAACATAAAACAACATGAAATAACATAAAGTAAGATAATATATAATGTAGTAGCATGATTTAAAATTTATACATTTTAATTATTAAAATAAATTAAATAAATAAATTTTAAATGAAAATATAATACAAAAATTGAATTAAATAAAATTAATATAGACTAATTAAAGTAACATAAAAATAATAATTACAAAAAAAAATAAAGTATACAAATGATCAAGTAAAATAAATAATAAATAAATAACATAATGTAAATAAATAATTTTAATTTCTAAATTTTATTTATTAAAAAAATAATTTTAATATAAATTAATTCTAGAATAAATACATTAAATATTATTATAATATAACTATAATTATTTATTAATAAGTTATTTTAATTATTTAAATAAATAAATTTTAAATGAAAATATAATACAAATTTAAAGTAAAAATAATAATTATAAAAGAAATAAAGTATACAAATGATCAAGTAATATAAATAATAAAATAATTCTAAAATAAATACATTAAATATTGTCATAATATATAATTATAATTTTTTTATATTTATTTATCATTTAATTTTAATTATTTTCTATTTTTTTATAATAACATTATTTTAATTATTGTTTTCGTTTATATTTTAATAATTTAATTTAATATAATTTACATTATTTTTAAAATTTAATTTCATTTATCCATACCCATATGTATTAAACTTTACTAAAACATAAATATATATTAATATAAATGAATTAAATATTTTAAAATAAAGTAAATAAAATAAAATAACAGTATAATAGGCTAATTTACTATAAATTAAATAATAAATACTAATAATAACTTCCAAATAAATTATTTAAATAAAGTAAGATAAAATATAATATAGTAGCATGAAAATAAAATTTAATTATTTTAATTATTAAAATAAATTAAATAAATAAATTTTAAATGAATATCTAACACAGAAATTGAAAATATAATACAAAATTTGAATTAAAAAATAAATAAAATTAAAATAGACTAATTAAAGTAACATAAAAATAATAATTATAAAAGAAATAAAGTATACCAATGATCAAGTAAAATAAATAATAAATAAAGTAACCTATTATAGAATAATTTAATTAAAAATACTATTTATCAAATAATCTATTACATACAATGTGAATAAAAAAATTGAAACAAATTATAATATTTTAGTAAATAATTCTAATGTAAATAAATAATTTTAATAATTTTAATTTATAAATATTTTTATTAAGAAAATAATTTTAATATAAAATAATTCTAAAATAAATACATTAAATATTATTATAATACAACTCTAATTATTTATTTATAATTTATTTTAATTATTAATATAATAAGTTAATTTTAATTATTTTTTATCCTCTAATTTAATTTTATTTATCCATGTGCAAGATAAAATTGAATTAACATAAATAATAAAAAAATTAAATCAAGATAA